AATCAAGAGGAAAGGTGAAATAAATGCGGCACATTGTTTGAACACCTCAGCTTATTTCAGCATCGTCGAGTGCTCTTGAGATTTTTTTTTTTTTCCTCACAAATGCACGCTTGCTGCATTCATTCTCCCAACACCGGTGGGAGTGGAATGCGCTCGCAAGTGGGAGAAAAGAGGTGGAAAGCAGTGAAACTTCCTGAAATCAAGTCACGGTTTCCCTGGATTTGAAATCCAAAAATACAAGCGCTTGAAGTGTCTGCTTTCACATAAATATGGCCTTCACCGATGTTAGCATCGCCGCCATTTTGTGCCCCATGCCTCCGAATGATTTCAATATGTGACTTGTAAGTGTCCAAATGTGAGCTCTCGATACACGAGGCCATCCAGAACAACACGGCACCAATCTTAGTCACTATTTGTCAGTTTCTTCAAAGTAACGAAAGCACCGGTGTGCCCAACCGAATCGAATCGAAGATTTTGGATATATTGCCACTACTGAGCCCATTTGAACTCTGTTGCTAACAAGATCAGCAGTCTCTCAGATGACCGCATGCTTTTAACGAGTTCCCTACCCCAAATGTGAGATCTCAAGACATGTGGACGAGGCCATCCAGAACAACACGGCACCAATCTTAGTCACTATTTGTCAGTTTCTTCAAAGTAACGAAAGCACCGGTGTGCCCAACCGTATCGAATCGAAGATTGTGGATATATTGTAACTACTGAGCCCATTTGAACTCTGTTGCGAACAAGATCAGCAGTTTCTCAGATGACCGCATGCTTTTAACGAGTTCCCTACGCTGTAACAGAGACTTTTTGCAGAAGCGCCTTTCGCAACGATGAGCCTTCCACTAGATGCCGAGGTGTGATCGCACGCCGCGTTGTTGTGTGCAGTTACGTTTATCTCACGCTCACCGCTACTTCACTGTACTGATCATGATTAACCCCTTTGTGCACCCTGTAACCTGATCACACAATAAGCTGTCCACTGTCGTAACCGCTGTCCCCGAAAGGGTCAATAATGTGTACAAATAGAATGAATAATAAATAAATAAAGCCCCCCAATAGACGTCTGCATTAGATCGGACTTGCAGCAGTTCAGAACCCCTAAAAATGGAGATACTCTGCATCGGATTTAGCTACAGGGCTAAATGCTATCTTTGTGTGAAACCTCCACTTGTTGATTGATCCGTTGTGTTCACGTAAAAAGGCAAATTCGCAACCACAGCAAGCTTTTGACCCCCACTAAAAGCTAAGACCAAACATTTTTTTTTAATCCACTTTATCATCTAGAATAGAATAAGACGCTTTAGACAGTACATTTGCTTTAACGTGCCTCTTTGTTGATCTTCTCCATACGCGTGAAGTAGATCTTGAATTTGTTCCAACCGCAGCAAGTCTCTGCCCCCTTCCTCTCTCTTCTCTCGGGGCTCCTTCATCTTCTAACGCCTCCTCTCCTCATCTTCCCCTCTTAACTCGGGCCTGCCCACACATAATGACTGTGGCAAAGGAGTGGAGCACCTAGTGCAGTACTTCACTGACCGGGCATGGTACAGTAGAACCTCTCTCTTGTTCTCTCTCCAACGTCTTAACCGTCGGCCATTATCGTGAAGCATGCCCTCCTTCATCTGCATGCCTTTGGTTGGCTTCCAATGGGAGTGTTTCAGTTCAGGAGCAATTTTTATTTCTTCTCGTGGTGTGTAAGGACCGCTTGGTACTTTAAGTTTATAACCAGGAAAAAGTTTTGGGACACCATCGCGCCTCATGGAAGTGCAAATAGAAGTCGGAGTTGCAGCTCGTGGAAGCGTGTAATGTGCTTTCTTCAAAATGTCGCTGGGTGTGTGGAACATTTTTGTATTTATCCAATAGGCGTTTGATGAGTGTTTCGACACCAAAGTTTTCCCGAGAATGCTTTCAACTTGGAACAGAAAAGTGCTTTTTTTTCCCACCATTGCTTTGGTCAACCAAAATGTGTGTCCCAAGACTTTTGTCCACATCGGGGGGTCCTCAGTTTACAACCGAATCAAAATATGGACAAAACGTTGTCTGTCACTAACCTACACTAACACAAAAGTAAAGTCATGATTACAGTAAATAATTAACGGCATAAAAAAAAAAAAGACTTGAAGCAGAGGATCCCCTGTTATGATGCTTTAAATTGATTTCTTCCATGTCATTGAATGAAGTCAAACACTGCATGCATGCCTTAATCTCCCCCCAGTGGGTTTTGTTCTCCATTTCTGTGTGTTCTCCACTTTGCTGATGCCGTTTTTCCAAGACTAAAGCGAGCGTTGTGGTCCGGCATCCAAATCACCATTTTCACAACCACGTATCAGCGACGTGGCGGCCTCACCTGACTCGGAATTAAGAGCGGCGCCATATTAGCTACTTTGTATGATGGTGATGTGCCGCCATGACACTCCTCCTCTGGCGGTGACGAAACGGGGAATATTGAATTAAAATCCGATCGGCCGTAATTCTGTCAGAAGAGATTCAAAAAGGCAGATGAGAGCGGCCACAATGGGCGCCAGATGCGTCAAATGATGTCACGTCTTTGGCAAGATGGCCACTCAACTTTACACCCCCCTCCCCCCAAAAAAAAAAAATTTTTTTTATGTTACTGTAGTTTTTTTTTTTTGTAATAGAAGAATTAAAAAAAAAACAAGAAAAGAATATTGTGTCATAGCGTAAAATGCAAAAATTCCCAAACAGCTGTTACTGACATACTTACTTTATTGATTCATTCAACATCAAAATATATGATATTAATTAAAAGGACATAAACAAGGATATTTTTTGCTATAATTATCCTTTAAGTTAGTTTCATAAGTCTCCTTTAAATTTTATTTTATGAACCAAAATATTTTTTCAATTTTAGTTTGAGTTCGTTTTCCTTTAGTGTAATCTTGGTCATCAGCAGACATCCACGCAAAATACTGTGAGACGGACAAAATCGGAAAAACTCTCTTCCTTTGTGATGCAAAGGATGAGAGTTGCCATCACAACATGACAACATATTGCTGGATGAAAATCTCCCGGGAGACTTTCAATCAAAACTGGACATTCTTCTCTTTTTGTACCGGCAGTTGTGAACATAGACTCGGCTGCTTTGACCAATCCAAGCGAGTTTTGTTGCTCGCTGCAGATGTGCAATGAAATGCAGATGAGCAGAAAGCAGACGTTTATTTTTTCAACCGGATGCGTGCCGGTTTACCAGGAGATGGTGCTGTGGTTTCGGATATCCAGAGCCGGCATGTGAGCTGTGACGCATAGAAACAGAAGGCAGTAGGCTGACCAGCACACAATCTCACATCTTCACACGTCCTAAAGAAATGACTGTGCTCAAACACACTTCGCGTTGTTAATAGCTCGAGAAAGCTTCAGGCGGATTCGGACTCATCGTGTAAATAAAGCGCTCATGCCTTAAAAGAATTCCCCCCTCCGCCCCCGAACACAACTAGTAGGCTTTCATCCTCGCGGTGGGGTCACGGGTCATCGGGAAGCTGTATTTTTGCGCGGATGATGCAATGCTTGCTTTTATTCTTGCCCGAGCGCCTGCGCCGTCGCCTCTTGTTGACTGGATTGATCTAATAAACCTCCTCGGCTTCCTTCCGGCCTGCCGGAGCACTTGCGAGAAGGTCACAGTTACCTCATAGCGCCAAGTGTCTGGTGGGAATGCGGTGGGCCGACCGAGTCGCGAGGTCCAGCGTGGCGCTTTACAGGTTAATCATTAGAGCCCGCTTGAATTGCGCTCGCGCTGGGCCGTGACGTTGTTAAAGTGACAAATAAACAAGCTGTTCAACCGGAATTGCGAAATCATGATCAAATCAAGAAGTCTGCATCATATATCTATTCTCCATCTTGTTTTGATAATTATATACAACAACATTATACTGCGTGCGTTACAGGCTACCACTAGCGTTGGCGTTTCCCTAATCATGACCATATTTGGGTGTGCAGGACCGATACAGTGAGCACTATTTTAATGAAAAGTTGAGGAGGCGGAAGGGGGGAGGGACTCGCCCCTGACACCAGTTTCACGAATGGACACAACTATTGTAACCGGAAGTCGGCCATTTTAGTTTGAAGCGGCCATTTTGGGCGAATTGCTAAATGGCCAAGCAGCTTTTGCCCAAGTCCGAGCACTGTGTCAAAGTCCAATGAACATTTGAAGGATTCACTGTGGAAAAAATGTCACTACTAATTTCTCATTCGGTCTTCCTTCACAATCACAGAGCTTGAAAAAACAAAAAACAGATGGCCAAACATTTCCTTTCGGTCGGTCACGAGTGGTGTTGATTGACGCAGTCGTTTTGCACAGCACTCCTTACGTCACTGTTTACTAACCAACATCTCGCATATCTAAAAATGTTGTGCATTTGATTTTGTCCAGTGAATCAGTTCTGAGATACTTGAGAACCATTGGACACGTTTCTTTGCAAAGTTGTCTTTGGCCATATAGCAGATTTCATGCTGGGGCCCATTCAAATAGTGCCAAAAAAGTCAGTGGTACTCCCATGGTGCTTTGTGGCTCTCCTGACATATTCTCCCCTGAGAAAGTGTCTCGGCAGTTCGTGACACAGGCGCCTTGGCGCTCCTCTGAATTGGTCTGAAGCGGCTCGCCACAAAGCGCCTCAAAAGACGTGAATCCATCCGCTCACCCGGCAAGGTTATTCTCCTCCGAGTGCTGAATCAGGGCTTCCTCTGTGACTTTGTCTCTCCCGTTCCAGGAATAGTTTGGTGACTGGCAGCGCAAACGCACTGCGATGTTTGGAGCAAATAAACAAGTCAAAGAAATGGAGACTTTTTGATTCCGTATTTCCTTTTGCAGCTGCAAAAATATTCAAATGACTGCGTGACATCAAACAAAACAAAAAAAAAAAAAAAGTCATTTCTGGAGCATCATCATAAGACATCTCCAAGTCTGCCTCATTAGGCTGTTTCATAACTATTTTATGCTCATTTTTTAATCCTTTTGGATTTTTCTTTGCTCTCTCCTGCAGCTTCAAATACCTTTCAACCTCACCGAGCGTTTCCGCCCGGGAAAACCGGTAAAAACTCTCCCCACCGAGGACCACAGTGACCCGACGAGGGACGCGGGGGCCTATTTTGACGCTCCTCTTGATGGCCCTGCGTCAGACGCGTCAGCGCCGGCGGACCCGCCGCAGCTGAGTCACCGCCGCGGCATTCAGTGTCCAAGCTCAGGGCTCCGGCGTGAGCGGCGGGCCCCCGCGGCCGCATCGCGTGACCCGGTTGCTGCCGCGTCCGTTCACGGCGAGGGCACGTCACATCCCGCTGTCCGGCCGCTCAGACAGTCGTCGTCCTTAAAGCCGTTGGCCAGCAGGAGCAGGCAGCTGCCCCCTCCGTCCAGAGGCCTCCCTTGCTTTCACGTCGGCCCCCGGCAGCAACTCCCCGGCCCTTGTCGCGCCTCGCCACTTCTGCCTTGCGGGATCTCGGAACCCCCCGGCGATCTTCACGGTGACGCTAACCCGCAGAACGCCAACCGGGGATCGCTCCAGGAGACGGCCAAGATGATCGGCCCTTCAGGGCGCTTGTGCCTCCCCAAGCCAAAGGTTCCTTGAGGAAAGCGTCATGCCGCACGTCGAACCAAAATAGGAGAAGAGGCTGCCCCACCGAATATGTAGAATATGTAGCAAGACAACTCAACTCCACAGCCTGTAAGTCTGTATACATGTCACTTTTACAAACGGTGAGCACAGGGGTGGGCAAAGTAGGACTCTGTTCTTTGATGGATCATCAACGTATTTATTCCGTTTTTTAAAAAAAATAATAATTGCTCATTAAAAAATAGGTTGTAAGTATTAAAACATTCGGAGAATACGAATGACATATACATGCATGTATTTATTTGATTATATCGTTGAAATAATGACAGTATTTGCAAAGATTTGGGACGCACTACAGTGAAGAACACAAGTACTTGAGTCTCCCCTCCTAAAAGTTTTGTCATTGCTTCATAGTTCAAGCCATAAGTGTAGCCCAAAGTTTGATCCTGAAACACTTTAAATATCGCTTTCAACTCATTTTACAACATTAGGCGTGACACCGATTTCTACTTTCCTATTAGCCTGGGCTTTGGCGCCATCTTGTGTCAGCTTTGAACATTACGGAAAGAGAAATGCATGAGTGACAGGAGGACAAAAGTTCCCCGGTTCAGCAGGTGCCAGTGTCCCATTCGCAAAAGTCACTTTTCGACCCTTCTGCCGTCTTTGTCCCACTTGCTCAGTTCACGACGACACAATATTTGCTCGCCCTCACGCGGCCGCGCCCTGCGGTCCATGGCGGCGCGCACCGTTTCAAAGGTGGCGCAGACGCGACCTTTACAGTGTCGCTGAAGGGCCCCGGGAGGTGGAGCGTGGCGGCTTAAAAACAAGTTGTGCCGCAGAAAGTGAGTCATGGCAGAAAAGGTGGATTAGGTGTGAGAGACAAAGCTGTCTTGCAAAAAGAACTCGTGCGTGTGTGTGCGTGTGTGTGTGTGTGTGTGTGTGTGTGCGTGCGTGTAAACGCCAAGTGCAAGACAGCAGCACTATAAAGCCATTAATGAGATCCAATACAAGGCCTGTTCTGCTTTACAAAGACATCCATCCATCCGTTTTGGATGGCCATTGTCCTCATCTGGGAGGCGGGTGAGCTGGAGTCGATCCAGTTGGTTGCCAGTCAAGCGCAGGGCAGTGGAAAGCAGTTTCAGTTTTTTGTTTTTTTTTTTAAATTTTTAAATATGATATCCCCTGTGGCGGACAACTGGTTAGCACATCCGCCTCACAGTGCAGAGGTGCAGGGTTCGATTCCGGCTTCGGCCTTCCTGTGTAGAGTTTGCATGTTCTAGCTGTGCCTGCGTGGCTTTTCTCCGGGTAATCCTGTTTACTCCCACTTTCAAAAAACAGGCATGGCAGGTTAATAGAACACTCCAAATTGTCCCTTGGTGTGAGTGTGAGCACGAACGGTTGTTGGTCTATGTGTGCCTTGCGATTGGCTGGCGACCAGTTCAGGGTGTACCGCAAAGACAGCTCGGATAGGCTCCAGCATGCCCGCGACAGTCGTGAGGATAAACGGATTAGAAAATGGATGGATATTAATGTTCAACGCTTGATTTCTGTAAACCTTTGCTCGTGTTTCCATTTTTGATTGATCACTTCTGAAGCATTTGTAGACAATCACAATGTCCCATTCTTGACAAGCTATTTTTAGAACAATCCCGTGGGCACCACGTTTGACACCCCTGCTCCAGTAGAAAAAAAAAAACTGAACTCGTAAGACCCAGTTGTTGTACCAGCGTGCTGAATTGTCTCAGTAGGATAACGAATAAACGCTCAAACGGCTTTCCAGTAGTGCCCCGCCTCTTCCCCACGCGTGCCTAATATTATGGGTTGCTACTAGAGATGTTCGATACCCATTTTTGTTGAGACAGATACCTGTATTACTCTTGATCGATACAGTTTCATCGAACTCATACCTGGTTCACTCGGCCATCCCGAGTTGTTCTTGTTGTGACAACCAGCCTACAAAAGATCATTTGCAAACATGCAAATATCAGGCAACGGGCTTCATGAAGGTGTTTGCCTTTCACTCTCGCCTCCATCTGTCCACTCGAAACTGGCACTTTTTTTTTTTTTAATTGAACTTTGTTTATCTCCCCTTTTTTCTTTTTTTTTTGGTACTGTCAAACGCTCCCTAGCACGTCCCCGCATGGCGAGCAGCGGTGTGTTAAGAAGAGCCACTGACAGGGACTCTGCTCTCTTCACTGTCGGGGCCGCGTGACCGCTCGCCTCTGTACGCCTCTGGCACGGACCGCTCGACTGCGTCCCCTCCACATAGACACACACACGAACACGTCCATGCGCTGTGATACAATGAGAACCGACGTGAAAGGGAACGCGCATACACGAACACGGACCCCCCACAGACACATCGAGTGCAACCTCTGAAAGTCGAACACAATCTGTTTGTCGCTTAATTGCAGGGCACATATTGACAACTAGAGGGTGACCGACGATAGATCTGTATTTATTATTAGTTTTTTGTCGCCGACGCAAAAGTGTTCAAGTTGAGTTGACGTCAGCCGATCGATGATGTCATCGTTATCTTTCCGTTGCTGTCGGCGCAAAACTGCTTGCTTTCCTCCAAAGTAGCGCAAGCTCACTTTCCCTTGGCTTGCTCATCCAGTCGTATTCAGACAGCCTCCCGCCCACACAGCCTGACCTAACTTATAAAAAAAAATAAAAATACTGCAGGGTTGCTCGTCGTTGCCATACTAGAATTTTAAAAACATCACAAGAGGGATTGAAGGCCTTGTAATTCTGTATTGTCGCAATCTCGCAATTGTGTTACCGTGATTGTTGTTCGAGGGACAGACAAACCGGGAGGGTCTATGTTCCGCGTAGCCATCGAACAGCTGCGGAGTCTTTCAGATGTGCGCCAGACCCACCAAACAAATCCAACACGGAAAGCCCAAAACAAATCAAACGGGAGGCTGACGCAACGGGAGAGCCAGAGAGCCAACCTAAAACATCAAAGTGGAAGCGGTTTGGATAGCGAATTTCGGGTGGGGCCAGTGGGTGAGGAGACGAGCGTGAGGTGGAATATGTTTGTTTGGACACGACGTGCTCCGGGGGTGGGAGGTAGTGGGGGTGCCGCCGACCCCCCGCCGCGCACCCCGTCTTCACCCCTCTCGGCCGTGTCGCTCAATGCCAGCCCAGAAATCAATGCGGAGCGTTTGTGTGTGTCAAAGATGTGTCTACTCGCAGAGCGGGAAGGCAAACACGGCGCACGGCAAAAACGCCGGGCCGGCGCCGTCCTTCTCCCCACCGCGTGCCCACTCTCCAGCCCTAATCTCCAAATCAATGCCCTCGCTCAGTATAAAAGTACGGCCAATCAGTCCGGCTCCCGCCGAAAGCCCACAGCCCAAAAAACACTGCGGCACCGTCGATCAATTCTCACACAGGCGGGGGGGAGGAACTTAGTTAACTCTTGTTTTGGACTGTTTTGTGTTAGTTGTGTTAGTGGCTTTTGCACAAGGAGGAAAGGCACCAGAGGAAGACCACGGGTTCGTGTCATGTTATGTAACCCTGCAACTGAAGCATATTTGCACTTTTCAAGCTTTCCTTTGACCTCAAATTGGCTGCGGAAGTCACTGCAGTGTGTGTAATTCAGGTAACTCCAGTTAACATGAACATGTTAACATTTTTGATGAACAAATGGCGAATTGACAAGATGGAATTCTGGCGACTTGTCGATGAAGTGCTGCCTCCTCAGGGGAAAATCAAAATGATGATTTTACTTTTCTTTATGGGGGCTCGCTTCTCTTTGCAGACTCTGAGCTGTTTGAGAAGTGGCCGCTCACATAGTCGCAACGCCCTGGCGCAGTTTTTGACTTTATGACGGCTCGCTATTTAATATCCATTTACGATTGTTTTATTTTTCTTTTACCTCGGTGAAGTTATCGTTAATTTTTTTTTTTGCATCCGGTGATAGTTTTGCATCGAAATCGAGGAGGTGTGAAAATGTGCCAAAATGTGACGTTTGTGCCCATTTTGAAGTGAAACGGAAAGCTTGAAATGTTCTCTGCATATTGGTGTGTTCAGTTTGCGCATCTGCTCATTTTCATCAAAAGCCACAATAATCAGCCAATGAACGGAAACACAGGCCATACCTTAGCTGAGAGCATTAGTGACTGACTTGCATGCGGCCGCTGGCTGTGCAATATTGCGAGAAATTGACTAACCCCATGCACTTTAAACAATGTTTGAAATGTTAATTAGAAGATCTCGCAGCCCAGTCATATCCTGCCCACCAATGAGAGGTCATACGTGTGTGTGTGTGTGTGTGTGTGTGTGTGTGTGTGTGTGTGTGTGTGTGTGGGTTGGGTCATATATGCGGAAAGAGACTGTGTTAGACTCTTCAGTGCTTCCACACACACTGACTGTAAACGTTACATACGAACTCTGCTGGTTCTATCACTGTGGAAATAAACTATGATTTGGAAACATACGTTCTCTTGTTCATTTGGAAATGGACTTTTTACTTGCTTGTATACAAATATTCGGGTCTACGGAGTGCCCGTTCACCCATCCGTCAAGTGTGAAATGAAACAACCGAGTCAATCTGCCTATTTGCGAAAATCTGCCTGCGCGCAGTCTATTTTGAATTTTGACAAACTGTGATGTAGCAAAAGGATTCATTGACATGATACTAAAGTTTCTCCGCCCATGATTAGGGAAGCTAGGTGGGTGAAGAGCCAGAGCCACTTTCAAGATGGACTCCAAAGAAACATGTCCAAGGCAAATGGTAAGCAGAGCTGCAGTGTTTCGCACAATTGACTGTTCTTTTTATTTATTTATTTTTTGGATTCAGCCACAGCCAATCAAGGACCCGATATGGTTGCCTACATGATAAAGTCAAATGATGGATGAGGCTTATGTGATTGCCTACCGAGAGATTATCATCAGGTGTGCCACAGGAAATTACCCAGTTTGACTTAATTGGTCTGAAAATGATTTATTTACGACAAATAATGTATCTTTGTTCATTTATCTATGCTGGCGATGCATAATGACAGGCAGAACGATTAAAAGCATGAATCATTTGTGAACCCAAATTCTAAATTGTCATGTTAACACGAAAAAAAAAACCCCGTTTAGTTTCCACCCACCCATTAAGAGAAATCCGTGATATATTAAAAAAAACAAAAAAAACCCCAAATATTTCACTACTACCTATGTATGTTTTTGTCCCATTCATGGCACTTAGTTTTTCCAGGACTTTACAATAATACAAACACATTCCAAACACAAATGATGAGACAAAAATAAAATACAA